AGGCTACATATTTTCTTTTCCTCAAATACCACTTCTGCATTATCAATTGTCTTCCAAACAGGTCATTTGGAATTTCAAATACATGCTTTAGTATTTACCTAAGTGTGGCCACATCAAAACCTCCCCCACTTACAACACTRCAAAATGTTTTGTTGAGAAAATTTACAATTTTGGTCCAGGTACCTTTAGTCAGAGCTGTATGATGTGATGTTTTGAATCACTGTGTCTAGGCTWTTAGAAGGAGCTKGAACGCAAGTGGCCTRTGTGCAAACAGCTTTTAGTAAGAGCAATAGYAGTTAGAACTAGCTAAAAAATCTGTTAGTGTTGGTGTGGGAATTGTCGATACTACGAATATCATAACAAGACCCTTTMTGAGTAGCTTTTTCTCTTGTAGTACACTGTAACAGTTGATAGAATACATTATTTACATCTCTTTACTGTTAGGCACCAAAAARCATCCCCATCRCCMAAATATTGAGCTTATTCTASTAGTAAATGTGCTACRAAGCCACGTATTGAGGACAGGAAGTACTTTTGACTTTTGCATTCCMACGCGTTGAACAGATCTCTGACATCAGAACCAAGGCCTCGCATTTTCATTTTTGACACGTATCACCATAATATTGTGCCGTGCCCTACCACCAGCCAATGGGATCMTTCTAGCCGGTGTGCCAGCACAAAACATRTTTTCGGAATCGTTGYTCATCCGCGACAATTCTCGAATCTGAATCCGCAAGCAGCCGTGATAATAAAATACACGAATACCGATAGAGAAAAAAAAATAAGAAACCACATCTTGAACGATTTCATTTGCAGGTTYTTCTTCACCTTGACCGACTTTTTCTTAAACACCATGCTGTCTTGCCGAGCTTGGACTGCTTTGTCCATGATACTCTCAATGTGTTCATCCCGTTCGAGCAAGAGATTGAGATTCCTACCGAGAACGTTTTTGAGGTCCTCTACCTGGCCCAGTAGATKATCTATTTGCGCATTGTCTTCGCGGATAATTTCTTTCCTGCGAATATTGTAGTGGTGCATGTTCGATCGCAGCACCGGTTTAAAGTCCTTATCCATTGCATAGCTGTTCGCATTCTTTATTCTCCGCTTGGTATACCGGCCCGAGAAATCGTGAGAGAGCGTCTGTAGAAAAGAAAAATTAACTTTTTGGTTGCGTTGATCCTTGTCGTCTGCCAAGCAGCAATAGAAGACGTCTTCGTGGTGCCACAAGTGGAAAAAGTACTCGTCGATCGCTCCCAGGTCCATCTCCTCCGCCGTCGTCACAGCTACGGTGCACGCCTGTATGAACTGGCTCAAAAAGTCATCCTCTTGCGGACCACCCCTGGTTCCGGATTTCTGGCGGAAGGTCTTCAGATCTCCTTTCTTCAGGATGTTTGGGTGATCGCGGAGGTGCTCGAGAAGTGCTGCCGTGCACTGGGGAACGTTTCCCGACGTGTTTCCCGAGGAAAATTCGCAAAGAATGGCCGCGTCACTGGAGCGACAAATGACAGCATAAACGATCATTTTACTCCTCTTTACTGCTGTTGTGTTGGAATGCGATGCTGCTTTGCAAGAAATCGATCGATGCTTTGAATCATACGAGTACGGTACGGTAGCAACCCCTTTGTTCGATGGAAGTGGGCGTAGAGATCTCTTGATTGTAGGGATCTAGCCTCACATTGATTTCATTGTTACTTTATTTTTCAAGTGGTATCGTACAGTACGGTATAACCCAGTAGCCGTAAACAGTACGAGTTCTGTGATTGACGTCCATGGTCTGCATACGTACATTGCACCGTACAAGTTCGTACGAGTTGCACTGTTCAGAGTTGGATTTCATTCGTACCGAACGAACTCGCTCTCTTCACAAGAACCGTTTGGTCTGTAGTACATATTCGTACCTCTTACCAAACCATTTGCAAAGCAAGGATGGGAGTATCACGAGTACGTACCCGTTACTCGTACTTGGTACGTAGTGCTACGAGAAAGTGGAAAACGTCCCATAGTGTTGCGATTATCTTCAGGTATCCTCGGATTTCGAAGCTTTCAACGGATAGAGGATGGAATTCATTCCTGGAAGAAATCGGGGGAAAAGCACGCACCTTATTTCTCTTTCGATTCAATACTTTACCCAAAATTTAAAATTCACCGTCACTTTCTAGAAGGGGCAGATGAAAATTCAGCTTAGGTAAACGCTCTGCTGAGCTTCTTCGGGAACGGAAACAGTAGAGAAGYAAAAATCCTGTAACACGTGCCGAGCAGGGTACTCCACRCTTTTACTAWCTGGCCGACTTTTATCATCGGTGACACCTTGTTCGGGGGAACAAAGAAGCAACTCAATTTCCAGAAGTTACGCTACTTTATTTTGAGACAACCATTTCTTTTAATAGCTTACAGCGCACCTTCGTTCCGAACACTTGTCAACAAAAACAGTTACTTGTACTATTTTTTGTTATCCATAGTCTGTGACAGTTCTCGATTTGCCACTGCTAATGCAATCCAACTCCGCCGGCCAACATGTGGCACCTGACCATCCCCCGCTCCAATGTCACTGMATTCATACTGATACCATGGCTTGCGGCGGAACTGGTCTTCCTGTTGATCTTTTACCGTGTGTTGCTGCCCCGATTTCAACGGCTCCGCCCCCCTGCTGAGTATCGCGACTATGCTAGAGACCGTAAGAAACTCTTCATGCGGATCATCAAACGAATAGAGACCAACTGCGAGACGAACAACACGCCGATCGTACCGTGCTTTGTTTCCTTTATCCGAGACTACTTCCAACCCACGGGTGCCAACGCGAACGCGGTGCCCCACCACGAGTTTTATCCGAAAAAAGGAGACGTGGATCTGTTCTTTGCCTGGGCCTTCTTCGGCAAAGACGTGGACGAGCTAGAGCTATGGATGAGAAACGATCTAGAAGACATATACAAGACTCTCGAATTGGATTACAACTTTTCATTCGAGGAGGGAACTACTCCGGAYTACAAGCCTATGCGCTTGACACTGGATCCGTTGGATCCAAGCTATCGACCCTTCTTTGTGTATTGCRTGTTCTCGTTGGTGAAGCTCATGAGCGATTTCTCGCTGAGAGCCGTTGGCTTTTATAAGTGCAAGACGTCGAGTGGACTCAACTACTTTTATCGACCACCCAAACACAAACTCTACAAGAAGTGCGACGAAAATATCGACAACAGCGGGAAGCTCCCCCTYATTTTTCTGCACGGCATCGCCCCCGGTGGTTTGGCCTTTTACCTACCGATGGTATTTTACCTCGGAGGCGATGGCCGCCCACTGTTTTTGTTCGAAAACCCCGACATTACCTTTTGCGCGTTTTGTGGCGGCGACCCTCCAAACGAACGCCAAACAGTGCATGGTGTATGGGAAGCCGTCGACCASCACCTTGGTTCGGTTCAGGACATTAGCGTGGTGGGTCATTCATTTGGTTCTTGTCCCRTTACGTGGCTGGTCCACAGCGCCGGRAGCGATCGCATACGGCAAATAGTGTTGGTGGATCCCGTCAGTATCTGTTTGAGCGAACCGGACGTGATGCAAAATTTCTTGTACCAGCGCAGGTGTCTCCGGGCCAACAAGATGCCCATCAAAATTGGCGTGATCTCCAACGAAATCTACACWGAGCATTATCTCCGGCGGCACTTCGCATGGTACAACAGCGAATTGTGGCTGGAAGACCTGCCCGAACAGGCAAAAGTTCTCGTGTGCTTGTCGGAAAAAGACCCCATTGTTCCGGTACGAAAGGTTCAGCAGCAGGTTCTTCGACGACCTAGCGTCGACGTCCTCTTGTGGGAAGACGCTGGGCACGCCCATTGCATAACAAAACCAAAAACGTGGCGACAGATGTCCATGGTGATGAAGCGRCAAGAAAAACTGATCGCACAGGAGTCCTCGTCCATGAGCTTGGACAAGAAGTACCCGTGACACTGCTACTGTAGATACATTTTTGTAAAATAATATTTTCGTGTATCTTAATTTAAAAATAACAATTTTCTCAAGTGAATTCAATCCTCGTGCATTACTGTATTCTTTTCTTTCATGTTAGGCGACTGGTATGTTWTCCCGGTTGCGAGTATGGTATGCGTACAGGCAAATTTCAGAAGCTATTGTACATCGTTATTATAGGTGCAGCAGGGTACACTGCTCTRCCCGTCTCTATTTATGACTTTTCTGCGAAGCATCCGGATCGGTGGTTGACATCGACGTCCGATCTCCTCGAAACGAATTCGAATTGCTAGCCCGTCGAACGAAGGCTTTCACAATCTTTTTCGGTGAGAACAAACCGCGTTTCTTCTTTTCAGAGACCGAYGAAGACGAAGGCACTTGGCTATCTTCCAGCACCGTTGCGGGTACCGTCTTGGATTTCCCTTCCTCTTTGGCACGAACACTATTGGTTGGTTTGTCGTCGCATGCGTTTCCGTTTGTCTCGTCTATTTCTGTCGATGGCTTGGGCGCCGCTTGTTTTTCTGGTCTCGTCCTCTCCGTCACGGCTTGATCTTCTKTCTGGTCCGTTTTCCCSTTTGCATCTGTCTCTACCAAAGACGACAAACGCATTGGTTTGATTCCAAATGTACCGTTGTCCATGGTTCTGAGCAATTGCTCGTCCTGCTCTCGTGCTGGTGTTTTTCGTTTCTCTTCTTGGATTTCGTACAGCGTCCGCCCAACCACGGCTTTGTCGTCCTTGCGCTTCGTTCCAAGGCACCACATGAACGTGGAAGACGCTCCCACCGATTTTATGTGCAAGTGCCGTAACGAATCAAGCCTTTGCGGGAGAGCAACGTTGTGCGAGGAATCAAAAGAGAAGGTATGGAATTGTCGCTGAATGGTMGACAACTTCACGTTCACATCTCCCGGATCCGAGTAAGTCAATTCCGACGGATCCGGTTTTGGCAAACCGAGATGGCCGACATCGTTGCAGCCCCATGCGTAMAGGTGACCCGTGGAGCTGATGGCAAACGAGGAGTTGCCTTTCGCCGTGACCGATATAATTCGCGGTGTATTKTCTAGRTCTAGTGAACGGGTAGATGCATCGATTACTTGCGGTATCGGCCTGAGTTTCTGCAATGTCTTCCACTCCTGTCCCGCGTCTATTGCTACAAAATCCARATCGTGGACCAGTTTCGGTTTTGGATTCATCTGGTAGATATAGCCCGTGCCTAGTTGACCTTCGAATCCTCCTCCCCATCCAAATACTCTGCCACCACCAGTCAGAGCCAGCGTGTGCATATCTCCCGCCGATACATCGACAATCCGTACTTTTGTTAGGGCATCGACTTGTTTCGGCGAGGACACTCCTATCACTCGGCGCCGTGTCAGCATACCGCACTGGCCGTACTGGTTTGCACCCCAGGCATAGATGTGTCCACCTTCGTCGAGTGCCACCGAGTGCGAGCGGCCAGCCGCGATTTTCCTGATCTTGGATTTTTTGCTGCCGGTGTTCGCGTCCTCAAAGGACACGCGCTGCGGCTGGCAGATGGTGGGCTGTTCCTTGCTCGATGGTCTCTTGCCGCACTGCGCGTTTCGATTGCACCCCCATGCAAAAACGCTCCCGTCTTTGGTCAGAGCCATGGAATGCCAGTACCCCGCAGCGAYACTGCTGACGGGAGAACCCACCATGTGGGGCAAAAGAGCTTCCACGAGCGCAGGGCGGCTGACGAAGGAAGGCGGAGAGGAACGCGAGCTCCTGGTGGTGTCTTCCCCGTTTTGTTCGTCGAAGCCTACCCCGAGTCCGAGCTGACCAAAATGCCCCGCTCCCCATGCACACACCGCCAGACCTCCTTCCATCCGAGCGATACAAAAATGCCTACCAGTTGCCAACTGGACACACTTTAACGGTAATTGAATGACCATTTGGGTCAGGGATGGTCTTACATGGCCGTGGACCGTACCGCAGTTGTAAATTTTCCCGGCCTGGGTTAAAAAGTAGCTGCTCGCACTGGTGCACTGGACGTCGACCAGCGGGTCGTTTTCTTGTTCCCATGGAGGGGGAGGAGGCTGTTCATCGTTGTCTTCTTTTTCGTTTTCTTTYTTCTCTTGCGTGAATTGATACGAAGAAACTGTCGTCGGCAGAGGCGAATCGATGTCATAGCTCTCATTCTCTAGAGTGCCAATATGACGGAGCTTCGACTGCTGTGCAGGGCCGAAATTCCGATAGTAATTTTTCCCAAACCCCACCACTACACTGGGCAAAATTTCGGTGCTAGACATGGTATCCTTTCAAATGCACTCTTCTTTTTTCAATACTGTTGTCCTTTTGTCCAATAACCCGAGATGCTGTTTTTGTTTTCGCCAACGATAAATTACGGATGCAACAACAAACACGGGACGGGACGTCGTCCATATCTCAGCGCTTCCTCCAGTTACGTTGGTCKCCTGGAGGACATACTCGTACCGGTACGAAGGCTTGTGGATAAAACCCGAGCACATGAAGAAGGAGAACCGACTGGTCACAATTGATGTTTTTAAGCCCGATTGCGAAATATCTCGGGTTCCCTAACTCTTTTATTTCTGCGGGAAGGTGTGCTCTTCGTATGAACACAAGTTGAATTTTTAAGTTGTGTGTTTTTAGGTACCGTACGAAGTAAAGTAGTTCTACCGTTGAAAATGATTACCCCCCTTGCAGTAGTAAACTACGTACGTACTTTATTTATGGAATACAAACTACCGTAATGTACTCTACTGGGAATTGGGAAGAACAATACCCAAGTACCGTACGTACGAACCTTTACGTAATGGAACTTCTCAGTCAAAACTTTTCCACGCTGCATCCACCTTCTATTGTGGAGAGGAACATAGAATCCGGAATCCGGAATTAGTTTGCWCTAAGTACGTTCGAGATAATTTTGAGCACCAACCAACTACTTCGTGTCCGCGCGCTTCACATTAATCACATTAAAAACCTCTCGATCAATCACCGAGCTCTCAGATTTTTTGACAGGTCTCTTTCTTGAGATTTTACTCCGCTGGTTCGAATGCTACAAACGAAACAACAGCAAAAGTATCCGSAAAAGTTCCARCCAAGCCAGAGGGGACGGGACAAAACACATCGTTTTATATCACCATKTCTTTGTCATCACTTGGCCAGCAACTGGCGGCCATCAACGCCTCGGGAAACAATAATGGGTCGACCCTCGCATCGTCCCGAAGACACGAGGATGCGATCGGAAGAGGTCTTGCGCATTCCGTGCAGGTGGGTCACGCATTGCAYAACAAAGCCGAGAAATACAAGGCGTCTATCATCCACGAGGATGCAAGAAAGGCTTCCGATGTTCCGCTGGCAACGATTAGAGAAAATTGCGTAGAATCCTTGCGGCACCTCGAAACGGTCGATCCCAGTTTCGGGGCATTCGTTGGGAGCCTGTGCAGCGCGGATACAAAAGAGAGAGGCCTCATGGTATCGGCAGAGAACGATAAGATTGACAAGCGTATCGAAGACCTGCTTTTCCGCCTCTCTCTTGTTATGGGCTACAAGAGCAGCAAGAATAGCAACCTAGTTTCTTGCCTGAACGTGATTGAATACTTGCTCCGAAAGTACGACATCCATGTTCGTCCAAAGACCGCTTCTACGATGATTTTGTCGATGATTCCGCACCACGAAGAGCCTTATTTTTTGCGAATTTTGCAGCTCATTGATCTCGCCAATCTTCCAGAGTGGTCCTTTCTTCGACCCTATGCCATTCCGGGAGCTAGACTGGGCCGTTCTATTTTGGCACAACAGGCCTCGAAGGACGTCACTCTGATTCGGTACCTCGGTCGGCTTTCGCAACGAAATTCCAATTTACCCAATGCCCAACAGAACCTCTCCTTCACTGCTGCTGTTCTGGTCGAAGCTCTGACCTTGCAAACCCAGCGCAAGGGATCCATGGAAGAACGCACCTGCCAAGCTRTTCTACCCTTCGTAGTTATGGCCTGCCGCAACGAACTATACTACAAACGAATACTCGACAACAAAATATCCCCGGAAGATTGTAGTGGCGATATCTGGCAAAATTGGGGATACATCATGGCGTCGACACTGGCTGAGACAGGTGTCCTGGCACCGGAACCACGAAGCGTATTAGTAACGAGTGTCTTGCAAGGGTTGGCGCAACAACAAGATKCAGCAGCCACGATCACAGAAAGGCAAGGATTGACCCCATCGGCCTGGAAAGATGCACCTAGTAGCTTTTCGAGCGGGATAATGGTTGCCTTGTCTATTTTGGCTCAAGATCCGCCTAAAATTGGAAGTGTCAACAAAGATACCGGGTATCTCCCTTTGCTATCTTCTGGCAGTCCTGTTAGAAGCTGTGGGTTTTCCACGATGGACAAGGATATCTTTAATGCTTTACTAAAACTCGACGATCCAGACAACAAAAGAGTCAACACTGACAGCATGAAAYGCAAGAATATTAAGAAYAACACCAAGAGCACGGTCGCTGCCTGCATGGCGAACCTATATTTCCGGGATGGCATAGTAGATGTCGAACAATTGATCGCTAGTATACTCGTCATTGGATGGAAGCGCTTCGTTAAGTATCACGCGCAGTCGAAGGAAAAGAAAAGCTCGAAAGCTCGGCTAARCCGTTGCAAGATACTCAACTTRTTTYTCAATTTGGTGAAACATTCTCAACTCGAAAARCTATGGAAGCAATCGGATGGACAATGGGTTGAATCATTCACTTCGTTTCTGTTTTTGAACACTCCACTGAATGTGTTGGAGTCAATGAAGAATGGAGCGGATGCGACCAAAGATACTTTGTTCAGCGAGAACGATTACATGGAAGCAATGGTGGAAACCTTGAAGAGTCTAGATAGAGTAGCATATGATAGGGGAGTAACTCATGCATTGATTCGAACAAAGCATAAGGGAAATCGCATGGACCTCGCCAATTACCTCGGGCTAGCCAAGTCGAGAGACAAGGACGATGCTACAGATGGAGACGATGACATGGACGTGGAAAATTCCATTAGTCTCCCACCTAGGGTGGCATTAGAACACGCAGATGTYCAAGTTCGACTTGAATCGATACCTGCTTTACTGCAAGAAGCAAAAAATTCAGATGATTTCGTGGATCCCGATGACGGAGAGACCATCCCGCGGGCATTATTGCGTCGTTTTTTGATGGATGATAACAARGAAGTAGCTCTTGCCGCTGCTAAAGCTTTAGACGAGTTGCTTCTTTTGAAGAAAGAGCAAATGGAAAGCGTTATTGATTCCGTTGAAATCGGCGAAGGTGCTGCGGAAGGATTTTTCAAATGGTCGCAAGTTCCGTCGGATGAAAAGGAACAAAAGGAGCAACTCTTAGTTCATTCTTGTCGGTTTGCTTCTTACGCTGCAAAACAGTTGCAATCATCAAATCAAACGGATTTGCTATACGTAAGTCTTCTTGAAGGACTTGGAGCAATGATGTTGGATCCAGTGAATTCTGTTTCTGTAGAAGCTGCAAGAGGAATTTTAAATGTGTTTAATGAAAACAAAGCGTCGAAGAAACATGCTGAAGTCAAGAAGCATGCGAAGTCTCTATTGATATCAAACGATACCATTCTTCGGGGGTACCGAAGGATTTTTCGTGAACGGAATAGCTCCGAACTGTACATGCGACGCCAGTTTTCTCGCGTGGTTCTTGACGCCATTTCCACGGCAGATTCTTCAGTGTTTATTTCGAACGAAACACTTGAATACTGCATCTGGATTGTTGAGACGTTTACGAGTGATTTCAACCCTGACGAATTCGACGAGCTTACAAAGAGTTTAAATATGTTGACGTCACTCCTGATTAAAACACCGGAGAACCTACATTCCGCTTTCTGYCGACTCGCTTCTAGCCAAGGACCTGTTTTCCGTGTCGCCATTGCACCTTTTATTACTGACGTTTGCAAAAACATGAAAGATGCAGATGGCGGCGATGTGGCTCCTATTTCTGTTGTCATGGAGGTAGTTCTTTCTTCTGATTCTTTTGATCAGATTAGAAACTTGCTGGCGGTTGCAAGAGGGRTGGCTTCACACGACACGACTGGAATCTTTTATGCYATAGCACCTGCACTRGCACTTTGCTGTCATCGTGAGGAAAGGGTTCGGGCGCTCTCTATTTCTTTTCTTTCTCACCTTGGTAACCTTTTGTCAGAAAGTTCAAAGGGGGAGGGATGGGAGATTCTGTCGGTTGTATGCCAATATTTTGCAAAGAACGAATCATCAATGATACTGAAAGGGGCATCGTTCCTTCCCGAATCACTKGCAACAGTTCTATCACATTCGGAGAGAAATAAAGCTCTCTCAATTCGRAAATTCCTCCTCCAAGCGATCTTGTGCTCCGCKTATGCATACGGTGCAACTGATTCCGTATCTTCAACGAATTATGTCGCAARAAGTTGGTTGGACAGCAGATATATTGTTGGTGGGTACAAAACTGCAAACACAYTACTTGAAGCAGCTGAGTATGCAGGTGAAGCTAGTTTCTCGATTTCGCGTCGTTGGAAAGATGCTGGTCAGCCTCTTCTAGCAACTTTTCTCTCCTTGTCCTTTGATGAAGACGAAGAAATATCTCATCATCAGTTGCAGCTGATAAACACCGTGATAAAAATGTTACGAGGGGTAACAATTTCAGCTCCGTCGAGTGGTGATATCCCATCTACGAGTACAATTATTACATCAGGACCTTCATCGCACGGTAGGAGAGCTAGATCGTATTCATTTGGTAAGAATGACGGGCTTGGCATTCTMAATCCCTATCCTGCAGACATGCAATCTTCGGTTTTGTCTATTTTGATGGACAACAGAGAAACTGCTTTGAACAATGGAATCCGAAATAGCCTTTTTGAAATTGTCCTCTGCAGTCAAACATGGAGAAACAAAGTCTTCTCTCACCTGAATAGGAAAGTACGACAGCAAATAGCTTCTGCTTTGCTCAGTGCTGCTATGGAATCTTTGTTTCATAGTATCGATTCAGTTCTCATGTCTCTACCGCTAGACGCAAACGACATCGCAAAACTTCTCAGTGAACAAGACTTTGATGAAGTCGGTCTTTCGAAGATCACTTTTACCTCAGATTTCATCAGTACGAACCACTCAAGACTCGCAAAAAGTTCTGGAATCATTGTGCTACTTGGATCGATTTTCGAAAAACTTTCTGGTTTTTCAAAGATTCCTGAAAATGATGAGTCAGTCGAATTCGCAAGACATGCACTTCTCAATGCACTATTAGAACTTATCACCTCATTCTTGGATCTTGGCTCAGCGAACACCGATCTTGGAAAGAATAAACAGACATTGACGTCATGGCTGAGCATTTTGGTCAACGTGGTAGTTCAAAAAGGGAAGCAAGRCCATTGCATTGTACCTCTTCGAAGCAAACGGATCGTCTTCTTGATTTTTGCACGCCTCTGTGAGAAATATCCAAACATTGTTATCCRCAAATTCATACCTATCATAACTGGACTTGTTTCAGAGTCACTCTCGGCGGGCGAAGAAAGCACGTTGGTGAACTGCTTTGATGTCGTTATACCTGTCTACTTCAGACATGCAGCAGCCGGGAATCTGCTGCTCATTGATTTGTTCAGAGCTTTTACCAATAGTGTATGCGAACAAGAAGAACATATCAGGCCTAAATTTTACATGGTATTTATCCATGCTCTTTCAATGATTTCTCGAAACGACAATTCAGCAGACTCTCCAGTCGGATCTTTTCTTTCGGTAATTCTTGCCAGAGAGATGTATTCAAAGTCAGGCACAACTCCTACTCAACGTGTATTCTCCAACCTTCCTACGCTAGCAATGCAAGTTCTCTCCCACACATCAGGTGATTCAAGAATCCAAGCTGTATGGTCCTTGCAAAACTACGCAAAGGAAATTCTAKTCAATCTATTACAAGAAGAATCGATGACCACCACAGACTCTCTCTTTGCAGTCGGACACTTAGCTGAGTTGGCTCTCAAGGGCCCGACTAGTAGGGGCTCAATTTCCTCTGACCTAAACCTTTCCCAACTGTCTCCATCGACAGAGTTATTCGAGAAACTGTGTTTACTGTTAATTATTGTGACTTGCGAAGTTGTGACCGATGAAGAATCGCGAAAGATTATTAGACGAACAGAGGGGTCGGATTCCAAAATTGTTCTGCGACTCTGGCAAGATCTGCTTTTGATTCAATCCGCATGTCATAATCGTCTTGGTGGATCAAGTGAAAATATCAACGTGAATTTCTTGGAAAGAATTGTTGAAATCACAACTCAAGCTCTAGATGGTATACAAAACAGTCTTCCATCTCATATATTCCTGGCATTTGTCACAAGTTTAGTAACTGAGGGTGAGACCGAGGAGCTCCGTGCCAGAGCAGTTCAGCTGATTGCTGAACGCTCAGGATCGTTGTACCTTGGAAAATCAGAAACGGTTCTTTTCGTTGACATGATTCCTCATTTACTACAGCTGCTTGGAGAGACTACTGGAAATTTTTTACAGCAGTCTGTATTTGCTGCTATTGATAGCATCGGCAGGAATTCATGTCTCTCATCTGACTCAGTTATAAACGATCGCAACCTTGAAATCTTTTCCTCTGCGGTATTCAAAGCTTCTAGCGTCATTTCAACGGCAAGTCAAGAAATAAGCGAAGGATTGTTTCTGAATATTCCGCCAGAATCAAGGCAACTCGTTAGTAGTGCAGCCCTATGTGCATCAACAGCAATCAAGATTTGTGGACCGAGAGCTCTTCCTGTACTCCCTAAATTGATCAAGCCTTTGCTCAATTTCCAGTCCGCCGCAACTGCTTTCATAAAGTCATCCATAAGCGGGGATGATAGCATCGACAAAAAGGAACTCAGTCAGGCAAGATTGATGCAATTGGCCATTTTGCGTACATTTACTGCAATCATAGATCGAATGCCCATGCTTCTTAAACCATATTTGGTCGACATTTTGAAGAGTTTTTCCCAAGTCTCTGAAAGCATCAATATTGATCAATCTCATTCTATCCAAACGGAATTGATCGCCTTACAAAACATGACGACCTCGCGTATTCCCGCAAGGCTACTGATTCCTGCAGCGTCAAAATCGATAATTACTACGCCTAATCTTGATTTGAATCTATCAACTTTGTCGATAATGACAGATTCCATCACGAAGTCGAAGAGTTCTCAGGTGTCCGGAATGGTTAGCATCATTATRAAAACGGCCACCTATGTATTTGATCAAGAAACCAATCAAGATGGAGACTCCTTGGTCATGCAGGCGACTGACAAACTTTTGCTGAGTATTGTGATGAAGTTATCAGAAATACAATTGCGATCACTATATCGAAAGATTAGAGATTGGCGTGGGGACTTCGATGCAACCAATCCAGAACAATCCAGCCAAAGGCGATCTGCTTTTTGGAGATTTTCGTCTGCATTGAGCGATCAATTGAAATCCATTTATTTATCTTGCCTATCGTCTGTGTTTTCAGACGCAGTCGATGAACTTGTAAGTCCATGCCTCTTTCATCATTTTTCATTAATCTCTCTGCATGCTCTAACGATCAATTTTATTTGCGAACTAGGAAATGGCGGCTTACTATCTATCGAAGAAAGATTCGGTAAAGAAATCTGATGGAAAGAAACGGCAGAGAATATCAAGCAATGAAGAAAGCAACGGATTGGAGATCTCATCTCTTAATGCATTGAAGAGTCTTCTGCTTTGCCTGGAAGTTTCTCTTCGCTCCGATGCTCACGAGGGCGGTCTTTGGATTCGGGAAATGGAGTCACAGCGCTACGACAAGCTTCTTACACCTCTCGGAAAATTATTGCAATGTCGTTTGCCGTGCGATGCATCGAATTGCTCTTTTGATGCCATAGTACTTGGTGGAGACAATCACTCTGGGAGTGTCGTTGAATGCTTGGTAGCTTTGGCGACTGCTGCAGGCGATGAACAACTCTGGAAGCCCCTAAACCATTCTGTTTTACAAGCTTGTTCCGATGAGAATAGACCAGAAGTACGCAAGGCTGGGGTTTCCTGTCTCTTAGCTTTGATCAATTCCATCGGAGAAGAATACATGGTTCTGATCCCCGAATGCCTACCAATTCTTTCAGAGCTTCTTGAAGACCCAGATGAGGATGTTGCAGGCATTGCTCAGGAGTGCATTAGCCAAAGTGAAGAATTGCTCGGTGAGAGTTTGCAAGACAGCTTGCGTTAATCTTGTCCAAAATGAAGATTGGCATGTTTAGTATGTCCACGATGTGATTTTAGCCCGCACGATAGCCAATGTTTGCTTGCCTAAAATAAAGAATGACATGCTGAACATATCCAATGAGTTATTTATGGTTTTGCGCATATGTTTCCAATTTTTGGTTAGATTGCTTAATATCTGAATGTATTCTAATGATTTCTATTAGCAATTTTCAGTAATACCAAGTTGTAAAATATATTTCATAATCTCAAATGGCGCAGGCTTATCTTGGATCCATCATGACAACGAGTACGAGATGAGAGACTCAAGAGTCATCTCCCCCTTTCTGATCTTTGCATAATCTATAAGCAGCATCTTTCCTTTTGGCCGAGACTTTGATCCATTACGTGCCAAAGTCAAAAGGATAGGAATGATTTGATTGCTGATTTCTGGATTCAACGGTGTTTCAACATTACTTTTGTTCAGAGTCATGCTGGAAAATAGCCACTGTTTTAGTAATTCTTCGTTCAGCTGTGGCGATATGCCATCTCCTGGATTTGTCTGCGTTGCCAGTCCTTCTTTTTCGTTGAGCGTTATTGCCTGTACAATAGAAAATACGCAATCTGAATAAGCGGGCCACAGCATTTGAGATCCGCCAGCCAACCCCACAAAACAAGATTGGATAAGCKCCTGTCCATTTCTCAAGAGCAATTCTTTGAGAATCAATGAGTTCCATGCTTCTCTAAGGACATTGATAGTGTCATTTGAGAGGCGCAAAGAATTCCACCCAAACAGTTGCGATAGAAACACCAAAGCAGCTCTTGTTGAATCTTTGGAGTCGATGGCAGATACAGACCCTACTGCAATGTTGACAATGTCTGAGATTTTGGGATTGTAGCATAGAGCTCGGGGACAATATAAGATAAATCGATGAAGACATTCAAAATAAGACTCAAGGAGTTCCATTTCCTCACAAAGATTATTCTGGCTGGTCATCACTGTCGTCACATGCACAAGCAAATCCTGAAATGACTTATCCATCTCAATTGTCTGACCCCCAAAAACTTCTACAGCTGTAGTAATGTATTTCAGTGTGGCAGGATCGCGAGTTTGTTCCAGAGCCTGAACAATTAGCGGAATCGTATTGGTAAAGATTGCAACCATCATATTTTGTTGAGGTAGCGTTTTGCGAAGGATTTGTTGGTGTATCGATATCCATTTGCTCAAGAGTATTGACTGAGCCGGGGTGGATGATGTCCGTTGCTGTAGCGTCTGCAAACAAGGGTCAAGCAAATGAAGCATCCACTCTCCCATGGCTGGAATGTGAGGAGCATCACAAAATCTAGAGATGACCCGAACAACAGCAAGATACCTGGCTAGGGATTCAGTTGCAGATTGCACCGGGACCGTCATCCACTCTTGCGTGATGTTGCTTTTGGGTAAAACATTCAAGGCGGCGTCAATGCGATTCGTGACTGGCTGGATTAGATCGGTTGTCATGGCCTGTCTTGCCATCTCGGGATTTTTAAGCTTTGTAATCAATCGTGTTGCTCCTTCTGCTACGGTTGTCATTGCTTCCTCGTCGGTCGTCGACAAAGCAGCTTCCATAGAATTTCGCACAGATTTGAGAACTAATGGTAGAAATGAGGATGCTGGACTATTTTCGTTGCCCGCATTAGCAGTACCGCTGTTGGCATACAAATCTTCCAAATTCGGCATGCTCTTTACTAGACACGAAACATAAATGGCTCGAGTAGCTTTCGCTGTATCCAAGGGCATTGTTGCAAAAGCCGATTGCAGATACACAAGCAGTTGCAATATCGCCTGGGGAGGACATTCCATTGAATTCCAAGCCGGCGAGTAATTGCCACAAAAATTGGCCACTGCTCCCAACAAATATTTGTGTTGAGACGCCATCGTMTGAGCACCTACCGCAATGAGTTGTTCTAGCAATTGTAACAATTCTTGTTGGGTCGCCTGTCGATCGCGTGCAATCRATGTTCCTTCGGCAGCGTGAGACCTGCACCGGGCACAGACGTCCTTCGCTATTTGAGCAAGSGCAAAGAGTGCCACCTCCGACATTCTCCAATCGGTGGCTACTCGGACCTGTTGGACCAAAATTTGAATCATCTCGACCCGAAGCAAATAGTAACAACTCACCAGAACATCCGCTACCATTCGACGGAATTCCGAGAAGTCAGAAGAGTCTACCAATTCGTCATCGCTTTCCCATGTCGTAAAGTTCACCGGGTAAGCCATTCTCCTCAGCAAGATTTCAACCAGATTTCGAAACAGCGGCTTCGACCATTGCTCGTTTCGCTCGGCGGTGGGGATTTCTTGGACGGTAAGCCAGCATTCCAAGGGGATCAGTGCCACAGACGTGGAAGGATGTGATTGAATTTCCAGCAGCACCCGCAGGCCAATGTCCGCTGGCTGGCCCACAATTGCTTCGGCGTTTTCCACCAAAAAGGTTGCCAGCATGCTGGCAAGGGCGTGGGAGGCATCGTTCCACTCGTTTGCTGCCGCCACTTGAAGGGGGTTGACAATGAAGCCTTGCTGCGGAATGGCCATCCAGAAGGCAGCTGCTGCGGCCTGGCGGGTAGGTGTTCCGTAATCGGAGGTGATCCCGATTGCAGCCGTCAGGGCCCGTGAAACGGTTTGAAGTGTCACCTCGTCAAAATTAGCGTCYGACGACGACAAAAGTTTTATCAAAATGGGCAATAGTGCCATTGATCCTCCGCAGGTGGGTGTGTTTATTTGGCTCAAGGAAACCTGAGATGTTTCGATCCAAGCTATCAGTGCCTGGCAAGCCGGTAGAATAAAACCACCTACCAAACCCTTCCCAATCAGATCCAGTGTGACCTCCAGATGCAACTGCAGTGCTTCCATAGCCTGAGYGGTCGTCAGATCCTGTCGGGCTTCCATTTCGGACGGAATGCATCCTAGCAAACGCAAGACGGTCTCCGGAGGCAAACCAACCGCGTTCTTGCGGGCATTCGCCAGGAATTCGGCCAATCCGGATCCGTCTTTGTTCCGCACAATCGTGATGGCGTTACAAATGCAACAAGGACCGATAAGGGATCGATCCAAATCCGGTTGCTGTCGAAGGTATTCCCAGAGCTCGACGCGCAGAGCGGCCATGGCATTCGGATTCGTGGAGGAGGATCGGAKCATCTCTTGTCGCAATCTCGACTGGAGCATGGTTAGACACAGCATCTGCATCGGCAYTTCGTAGCCAGCGGCGCCCGAACCCGGCTTCGATTTGTCTTGGTGGCGATACGAAGCCAGCCACTTTGTGTACACATCTAGGGCATCGGGGGTTTGTGTCCACTCTTCTAAAAAGCGAGATGCCTCGCGCCGAGAGACGGGATCTGTTGTGGGTTGCACTAMGGCTAATGCGGCCCTTGCTACCTCGGCTTCCATGCTATACAGTTTGTGCGGCCTTGCAAGTTGCCAAGGAATTTCAAAAGATTGTTAATCCACCGTCCATACGCAATAGCCGAAAGATAATTAGTTGTTATGTGGTGTTAAAGATTGAGTACCGCAGTTTTATTTTCGCTTGTAATACTTTCAGAAGATGCTTACACGTAGATTTCACGGGTAGATGTCACAAATTTTGATTTGACAAGAAATAAATTGAGGAAACTGCAATTCTAAATTTTGTACCCAAAAGTGGAATAACTCTAAAATTTTGAATGACTTTAGGGTTAAACTGTAAATAACGGTTTGAAAGCGCAGAAAGGWTAACCTCGTAATAGCGGCATTCTTAATTTCTATTTTTCGGCTAAGTATATTTATTATTTATACGCCCGTCAGCAATCGACCGTTACGTACAAGCGATTTWGCCCCGAAATTTCAAAAACAAACGGCTAACAATGTACTTCAGCACCATCCTCGATCAATCCTCGACCAAAAAAATGACGGACGTCTTTTGCAAAACTCGGTTTTTTAATCTTGTCTCTTTGTTCAAAAGYAATCACCGAACCGCAGGAAATGTACAGCCTCATTGAACGCAGTTTGCACAACAGAAACGACGACCGAATGGACCAATAGATCCGAATCTCTATCCACCAAAAACGTTTGTAACTCAGCTATGACAACTCCCACCAACCATACGCATTCCTCTTTGTTCGACTTTGGCGACACAATAGAGTCCGCTCCCTCGCAGAGCTCTCTCGAACAAAACTCGTCCATCGAAGAATCACAGATTTTTGTATCCATGGGCGGCGAGGTGTCGGGCCACACACGCTACAGTTCCAGTGCTCTGAGTGGCGCTTCGGGTTTGAAATCGAAGGGTTTCTCGAAYAACAMCACCAGTCACAACACCAATATCAGCGACTCCCTATTGGGGCCCTTGGAAGAAGAACCGGAGACACCCGTTGCAAGAGAGGAAACAACAACCCCTACAGGAGAGAATACAGCCGAAGCAACAACACCGACGATAACGCCAACACAACCGCAGATCGCTAACAGCATTCTGAGACCTTCATCTTATGCGATCAAACCTYCAGAACAACAAGAAGAGAAACAACATGAGGAGGAAGAGGAAGAACAAGGACCACAAAAACCGAATTTGATTATTTCTACAGACTCTGGAACCACAAATGAAGACCACGACACTATCAGTCATCACGCGTTWAGCCCAACGCTGCATACTAGCAATCAGACTCCCGGAGGAGCGTTAAAACAAAACAAAAATGATTTCGATTTTGAAAACGCTGGSCTGAATTTGAGAGTGAACGACCAGAACGCCGAACACGCCTCGGCGTGGGCAATTCATCTCGCGCTGATCTTYTTTTGTGCTTTGGTCGTCGCCTGCAGTGTGCTGACTTTCACGGTGATTCAYACGTACGGATTCTTTACGCTTTTCCTCCTGGCGATCGTGGTTGCCTTTTGCGGCTTTTTGGCATGCTTCGTCGATAGCACAATACTGTCCCAGAATCCCAAGCTGAAGCCCGTTCGCCAAAAGATTCTTACTGCGGTGCAAGCCACGCGGAAGATAATCGAGGAAGAATACGAATCGTTCGTCCGTGATTGGAGGGAAGAAGTCCTGATGCTCACTGAAGGTGGCGAGAACTACGATCCGAATGTCACGGGGGGCACTGCCAAYGGTACCAGGTATCACAACAGCGATTTTGATGGGACAACACTTCCACAACAGCGACGAAAAAAGAGCAAGGTGTTCAAGCTGGTCAGGCCTTTTTTGGGTCTGAAAAAGAAGCTGTCAAAAGCAAAAGGCAGGCGGAAGAAGGAAAAAAGTGTCATTCCATTTGACGAGATGCCGTCATACAATCCTCCCGCGGTCGGAATCGTGTAACAACTTACTACCGCCTTTCTGGCTTAAGTAAACAGCGTCGCAACAATTCAATGGCCGGAATTTATGTATTCAATTGTGACTATTCCGATAGACAACGAACCTAGAACGCAAAGCATAGATACTAATAAAATAACACAAAACGTCAATCGTAGCCTCTCAGGTTCAAACCTAGAACTGATACCATGAAGCCCTTTCTTTTAGAGAGACAGGACGAAAGCCAAAGAGGACAGATCAGCAACACCGTCAATAGCAAACGCAATTCCCTTCTGCACTACGAAACAYTTCTAGTATTTCTAATGCTTAACCAAACAAGTCTTTTCCTTCACATTCGGTACGTACGTACGTACCTCGCGTTCCTACMATTGCTTTTTGTGTTGGTTTTTGTCGCATCACTCGTTCGCCGGTTTCTCGACCCTACCGTATGATGTGGTGCGGCCGCCCTTACGCTATATATACATGCGCTATGATACTCCGACAAAAATACATCTCTTGCTGTGAAATATCTACTGGTACCGGGGGTCATAGATGATAGACCGTGACTGGCGATGGCGGACAGAGCGTACGAAGCAGTTCATCGCGTACGTACCGTACTCGTAGAGTCCAGTACCATTCATTATCACTTCTCGGATACCTGGTATGGTTCCACCGTACTGTACTCGTACTACGAGTAGCGGTACGAATACCATATTTCTCGAAAGGCATAAAAAGTGATGGGATTGAAATTTGTTTGTTCGTGGATAGATCGGAATGTTCTCGGCAGATACAACGTTCTGGTGCCGATACGTACCTACCGTCCCGTAGTTAGTACAGCAATCGTGCATCTTTCTCAGAGAGTCCTGGTACGTACTCGTACTACTGTCCGCTACGTCGACGGTAAAATCGTACTTTGCCGAGTTAGCATTACGGTACTCGTACCGGTAGGTTGAGTTCTTATCTATCGCCTCGTAGGTAAACTACAGTACCGTGCGTACTCTTACTGGTAATGCTTGGCCTCAGGGTGAGAAAGCGACAGTGTGGTGGAACAATGAAATTCGGCATGGCGTTTTGGAAGCAAACAGATTTTGGTGCGTTTTTGCTGTCTTCGGCTGATAGGTGCKGTATTGTTGGAAGAACAACTTCCGTGTTGCGTTGTCGTCGCGCCCCAAACGAASAACACATCATCCTCGAGTCTTAACAAGTTCTTCAATACGCACTCGTACGGTACTGTTGCGTCAAAACTCGTACCACAGATCGGCCATTGATTGCAGCATATAGGGACAAGGCTTCGAACACCGTCACACAACTTACAAACACTTCGTACCAGCCTCAGCATTGGTCGATTGGAAGCAAAGGRACAGACAACATACCTTCACAGTGCACACCATTGCTGACAACAGCGACAACAGCAGCAGCAGCAATACTAAAAACAACAGCGACGACGACGACGATGAAGATTCCTGGCCGTCTTGCACGAACACCGACCTTTTTCCTCCTGGCGCTGGTCTTGCTCGCGGTGGGAGCGACCGGGCAGGGAACGCCGGAGGGCCTGACCGCGGTGGCACTGGGGGGCCAGCTGGTGGGAAACATCCTAGAGTACGTCGTCAACCCCGGCGACCTCCGTGCGGAGGGGAAGGACACGGTCACCATTGTGTACACGGTTCCCGAAGAAGCCTGGATAGCTGTMGGCTTTAGCACCGAGGGTCTGATGATCGGGTCGGAGGCCGTGATTGGCTTCCCGGCCACCGGGGAGGTGGTAAAGTACGGCCTGACTTCCTTCATACAGTCCACGGGCGTGCTGCCGCTTCCGGAGGCGCRGCAGACGCTGATCGATGCCTCTATCACCCAGGGAGACGGACTCACYAGCATGAGGTTCACCAAGATCATGGAGGAACCCGACGAGATTCCCATTGTGATTGGCCCCAACATCTTTATGGGATCCGTGGGGTTCGACAACAATTTTTTCATGCACGCGAAACGGGACTCGTTCGGCATCGAACTGGCGGTGGCCGAGGAGACGGACGACGCGGTGGGAGCCGATGCCGCGGGGGGGGAGGAGGAGGTTGCCCCGGCGGCAACCACGGTGGTGATCATCGAAACGCGCAAGCGATCGCTGTGGAWGGCCCACGGCTGGTGCGCCGCCCTCGCCTGGGGGCTCTGTGCGCCCCTGGCCATTGGTGCCGCCCTCCTCAGGAGATGGTTTCCGGACGGGCTGTGGCTAACCATTCACCAGGGTCTGAACATTGCGGTGGGCGTCTTGACCGTTGCCAGCTTTGGATTGGCGGTGGCCGCCATTGGCTCGGAAACCCCGGCCGGAGGCAGCAGCTACCACTTTAGCTCGGACCCCTTTCCCCACCGATTCATCGGGCTGGTGGTCTTCTTGCTGGTGGCCTTTCAGGTCCTGAGCGGCCTCTTTCGGCCCCACAATCCGGGCAAGGGGGAGGAAAAGTCCTGCACCCGCCGCTTCTGGGAGGTCCTGCACCGGGTACTGGGCCTCGTTCTCCTGGCGCTGGCCTGGTACCAGATCGATTCCGGGATTGGGATCTACCAGCTGATCTTTTCGGACAGCGCTTCCGCCCGCCTTTCGGGGATTTTCTGGGGGATCACCGGGAGTCTCTCGGCGATCATCGTGGTGGGATTTGTGGTCACCAAGATGACGGATCGGGCAGACGACGACGACGACGACGACGACGGAGCATGGGACGAGTCAGTGGAAGATGCCTGATTGTAGCATAGGTAGATTTTCCAAAGGCGCTTTTTCTGTRTTGAGAAAACAAACCGAAAAACAACAATGTTGAACTGAACTTTCAACAGGACGACGAATAGAAACTATAGAACACTGCAAATCAGTCACTTTCCAAACTAGGAGAAGAATCTTGAACCCCAAAWWWTTYTTTATTTGAAACCCAKTATTGAACGCACATSACGCGTGGCTTRGCATTGTTGTTGTTTCYATCGTTGCGCGGGTTCGATCCCGTTTGGATTCTCCGCTWTGGGGTTTCGTTCCTCGCCGGCGCCTGCTCACTCGGGAGGGTCGTTTCGGGGAGCWATCTTGAGCTTGGCCTGTCCCTGCAGGTTTTCCAGGCCGAGCATCCGGAGCATGTTCTTCTGGCGTTCGTCTTCCTTGGCCCGGAGCTCCTCGATGCGGATCGCCCGGCGCTCGTCCYTCCGCTCCCGGTGCTGCTTCCTCCTCGCCACCGCCGCCGCAAAGGAATCCCCGTCCCTTCCACCAGCGGCGCCGCCCCCGAARAGGTCGGCGTCCGAGAGCTCCATCCCGGCCGCCGCCGCTTCGTTCTGCAGGTGGGCCCCGTGGATGCGCGCCGAGTGCTCCCGCTTCTTTTCCAGGCGGCGTTCCCTCGGATCCGAGGAGGGCCCCCCCGTCAGTTCCTCGCGGGCGACCYGGACCTCTTCCCGGAGCCGCTTGTCCGCGCGGCGCTGCGCGAGTCGCTCCCCGGGGGTCGGGCGCTGGCCCTGGCGCGGGGGCGCCCGGTTTGGCACGGGAAGGGACTTCTTTGCCTCTAGCCCGGTAATCACCTGGCAKACGTTCTGGTCCTTGCGGGTGTTGCTGCTGTACTCGGTCTGCTGGCGGACGCCCTTCTGGAGGTCGTTGAGGCCCTTGCGCTCGGAGTGCGTGGTTTTGAAACCCCAGGCATGCTTCGTGGTTTTGCTTTCCTCGATGACCGCGGCGGGGAAGTTTCGTGTGTAGTAGGGTTCCTCGAGATGGCCGGCGTTGTAGGCCTTTGCGAACCTGCAAAAGGCGGCCCGCGCTTCCTTGGTGTCGATGTCGTTGAAACACGTTCCCTCCTCCCGGAAGAGATAGACCCAGAACTCCTGGTGGTAGCTAAAATAGTCTTTGTCCGGGTCGATGGCCGAGTCCGGGACACGCCCGACCGGTCCACCCATCGGGCAGAGCGTCGATTTGTCCGGCTTTTTCTTCGGGGGAGACCCCGCGGCAGACCTCGACGATTTCTTTTCCCTTTTCTCCTTGTGGGATTTCGAGGATTTTTTCTTTTTCTTTTTTCTCCTATCRTCTCTGTCGTAGCTGGAATCGCGGCTGTCGTCGTCCGAGTATTTGTCGCTGCGGCTGCGATTCCGGCCGCGATGGCTGCGGCTCTTCTTCCTGTGCTTTTTGTCGCTACCCTCCTCGCTCCCGTGGTCGTCTCTGTCCCTGTCTCTGCGGCTGCGGCTTCGKCT